CGGACTGGCGGTACCGTTGCACTGTTAACCTTGCACAAAGTGCGGGAGCTACCTACTATTATCGCCTGACACTTGCTCGGGTTGACATTAATGCCAAATTTCCCAGACCAGTTAGATATGGCAGTCAAGTCCGCGTTCACCTTCGCAACTGCATCAGGTAAGTCCTCAATCTTGACTTGACAGTACAATTGCAGGTCGTCGGCATACAGATGGTACGCACACTGAAGTTCGGAAGTGATAAGGTTTATGAAGATGGAGAATAGAAGAGGAGAGAGAATTCCGCCTTGAGGAACCCCAGCCTCTAAATGGCACCAGTTCGACGAAGCCTCACCAACCTGGACCAATTGCTGACGTCAAATGTCGCATGACGTCACTTCTATGTACATTTTATACGTAGAAATGACGTCTTAGCCCCCACTCCTAAACTTTGATTCGTTGTATCTAAGTATTATCTTATACAACAAAATAAAAAAATACGTGTCTAATGTTTTTTCACTTACGGACTAAATAGATTTGTTATTTTCATACCCCATCATCGTCCCCAATTGAACATGCTAAATTATTGTGCCTGTTATTCATTATTCATCTCCCGGAAATGGGAGGCAGTGGTGTGGCGTAGGTGTGCCAGTGTTACTGGTAACACCATCACCGAAATTTTTATTTAGAGTACTTAAATAAAATTTTCAAAACCGTTCCCCAACAAATAGTTATTTCGTGCACTAACTATGCCATTTGCTTGTCCAGAAAATTAAAATTTGGACTTTAAACTCTGCGTTGTGCTTACGAGCATAAGTACCTATTTATTATTTTATAGTTTCAACATGCAACATGTCAACTTATCTTTGTAATTAAAGTTATTATGTCATCCTTATTGGCAGTATGTATATGTACCAAAGAAGCATATTTTCAATTATTATTACATAAATATTCTTCCTTCCTATACAATAAATGAACAGTAATTAATTATAACTTAATTAATAAGCAGATTATACAATGATTATTATACAACTCATCAGTTATGTATATTGATGTGTTTAACACGTTAAACGCCATGGCAGTCACTGGTGACCGACATTAGCGGAGGATTTGCCTTCAATAGTTTTTTATTGGCAGCCAATGCCTTAACTCGTCGAGTACCGGTTTTGTAGACACAATTATAGAACAATAGGTTGCGGTCACCGGTGACTGCTTGGTGTTTGTAAATGTCATATTAAGATATCAAGATTAAACTCTTTTGCAATCATAAATTGGAATCTAATTAGACTTTTCCTAAAAGTTGTAGTATTAGTTTCGTGATAAATACCTATAACTTTTATTCTTGATATAACGAAATCATTTAAATACTGAATTACTATTACTATTTTACCTTACTTTTTACTATAAAAATTGTGATTAACCACATTTTACATACACTTGTGCACACAGTTAAACTGTCAAACACCAAGCGGTCACCGGTGACCGCAACCTATTGTTCTATAATTGTGTCTATAATGACGGTACTCAACGAGTTAATATGTTCATGAATTTCAATGCACATATATTTTAAATTAAAACTGAATGAGTTAAAAAGTTATGGAACAAGAGATAACAGAATGTCTTAAAGCTATCAGTATCTACATTATTTATGACCCATTATGAACAAAGTTTCAAAAGATTACAGCTGTGACAAGATAGCAAACAAAATTTTGTATAAAATTTTTGTTTATCATGTTAAATGAAATTATGAAGTTATTAAAAACCTGATCTAAACTATATTAGAAGAGAAAATATAAGACTAACTTGAGAAAAAAATTAAACCATCTGTTTTCTCCATTAATTTATTTTCACTAGTTTATTAAAAAAATCCTATGTACCTAAACAAAATGAATTTATATTTCTTTTCTAGCAGACACAATGTAATAAAAACTGATACAAATAATTTGAAGCCAAGCAGCGTTAAAAAAATATTATTCTCACATACCCATAGCCATTAATTGTCACAGAGTAATAATCACAATATTTATAAACCTATCACAGATGTCAGTAAGTCACACAAAGTTAAGATCTGTTATCTTATCAGAGACTTATCAGGAGACAAACTGTTAATGTAAAAACTGTCTGTCTTTATGTTAACAGTGTGATATCACGCTCAGTTACAATACCTACCTTACTGGAAAAATTTAATATACAAATAAATTGTACTAATAGTGTGAATCATTATTTGAATGAATTGGTATGTCTAACAAGGAATATTCTAGGTAATTATAATATTGTTGAATGGGAAATTTTATTTAGGAATAGGTAGTTTTATTCAATTAATGAATTATATAAAAAATTGGTTTTTTAAAAATAAAATATTTTATCCCATAGATTAAAAAAATCTGGCTCTGAATAGTTACCAGGACGTTTTATAAAAATTTTTGGCTTAAATAAAATTAGTTAAATAAAGTACTTATACTTAGAAGGTTATTTTTCACTCACCTGGCAGAGTATGATATCCGATTGTGGACAGATGTCCAGTAGAGTTGCAACTACCAGGTGGCAGGTCCGAGTCCATCATATTGCAGTGTTGTCCTTCTCTGTCAAACCCAAGCCCCTGGCCGGCACATACCATGCCATCTTAACTACACTACACACTTATCACTACACTGTCCTCTTGGTTCAAAATCTGTGACAATAAAACATCTCAATCAGGTCCCATACTCTTTGCATAACACTTATCTACTTATTATAATGTCTCAACACTTTCTACACTTTAAACAATTTAATACATTATTTAAATGCAAATTAAATTGGATTTACATGCTGTACCAGTGGCTGACAAGGGCCGAAATGAATTATTGCATACGCGATGCAAAACCGGTGGCCCACTTTACACCCCAAGACATAAATAGTTAGATGAATGCAATAACCAGAAAATAGGTCAACGGAGGTGTGCCCGGCCGCGGCGACAGAGACAACAGACGCACTGCCTCCGACGGTCGCGGCGCATCACAATCCAATAAGAACCTGTGCAAACTTAATTACTATCAACTGGATATTACAAAACTTCGCACTAAACTCAAGAATCGTGGAATAATTAACGAGAGATGGCAATTTTACTAACTACGTACAAATAAACATTACTATAAACACATCTTGTCTTACTTTCTAACAAGCGCAGATGAAAGAGAGAACCGACCGCGACGCAGCGAAGCCCCGACTCCCCTACATGTCAACCACCGTACACCACCATCCAAGTCATTGATCTATTCGGTCATTACTTACACACACATAACTTCACACTCTAAAACACTGATAGGACACTACAATAATCTTTTGATTAATAAATTTGTCTGTTTATAGTTTTTAGTGAATAAACAGAAGCCGAAAACTTTAAACACACCCCGACGGTCGACACTACTACGTCGCCATATTTATTTACCTATTCAGTGTTGTCATTCTAGCCTTGAGAACTACCATTTGGTAGTAAATAATACGTAATATTTTTGTGTCTCCATAAAAGGAAAAATGCATTATTTTGTAATTCAGTATTCGTTTACATGTGAATTACATAAATCTTTATGTTTATGTGTGGGTCAAACCAATAAAAATATAGGTACATATTATCGGTTATTTTTAATAACTACCCGTAAAGTAAATTACATCTCTAGTCTTGACAATGACATTGACATAACAAATGTCAGTTCATGCTTTGCTGTCATAGCGAAGGTTTGTGTTTGTATACTTGTCCGAGGCGATTATTTTTATTGTGCTTTATAAAAACAAGTTTAGTTAATTATTCATAATCTCATATTGTAAGAGTATAATGTGAAGAGACATAATTCAACTTATATTATAATCTGTTGTGAAAATGGAGACCACACCATTGCTGACGAGACCTAAAAAGAAATCCTTATGGTCAAGGTAAATGTTTTTTCGTTAATGCTCTTTGTTTGGATTAATAATTGGATGAGAATCACGTTAAAATTAATGATTTTAGGTTACAATTTTGGAGGTTCCGTAAGAAGAAGTTGAGTTCAAGAGCTATTTATTTGGGGCAGCTGCCTGATGAAGAATTTCCGCCGAACTATGTCTGTAATCAGGTCAGTGACGATATAAACTATTGAACACCATAGAGATACCATCAACGCATTTACAATAGATATATCAACTACTAAATATTCTCATTACAAATGTTTAAAACCAATACAAGATACTGAAGGTTATTATAATAATGCAAACTAATTAGCTATTTATGATAGCAGAGAATCCACGATGACGCATTTTTGTTCTAATCAATACACAGTTCTAATTTAAGACAGTTATTGCTTTAGTTTCCAGAAATTTTAGGGATATTGGTGTGATTTCTAGCTGAATACTTTAAGCTAATAAGGGAATTTGAGGAAGGGAATCTTAATGGTTTATTTCGAAAGATACTAATTGATTCAAGATTCAAAAGTCATTTGAATAGTTTACATACAATGAGTAAAGATTTAGGTCAGTAATATTAAATTGATATAACATTCTGACATTACTATGAGCAATCTGTTATATATCCTTAAATACCTGTTTTGAAACACAGCATGGTAGATAAATTAATATTGAATTTTTATAGAAGAAAAACCCACAGTATTATTTAGTGTTATTCTTATTTTCTTTATTATAGACAAATATTATTTACCTTAATAAAAAACACTAGCTGTTACCAGAGCCTTTGCCTGGTAAAAGCAAAAGTTAAAATGTAGCCTATATCAATCAATACCTTGCATCTAACTAGGTCTTTCTAGATGTAATAATTAAACCATAAAACCCTCCATTAACATGTTAACCCGTTGAAATCCATCCCCTAAATTTGGTCATACAAAAGTAGTCTCTAAACATTACAAATAAGGTCTATAATGTAATGTAATATTAGTGGAAAGCGGTCACCGGTGACCGCTTAGGGATTTATGGGTTAATAGCCAAATAAGTATTAACATAACATAAAACTTAACAGCACATAGTTTATCCCCGAATTAAGTATTAAGTAGAGTAAATACTTTTGCGGTGCCCAAAAGGGCCTATAGTTGGAACATATTTTGTCAAAAATTGTAAACCACCCTGTACACACTATGGATGCATTAAAGTGATTTGAATTGGTAGGCAGATCTGCCCATAACGTTTTTTAATGCCACTGTACAATGTAACACCCACTTTTTACTATTTATGTTATGAGTCCCATGTAATAGTATGAATCCACTGAATAAGTGTAAGTAAGTTAGCTATTTTCAATTCTTTTTAACTACATTTACAATGTATGTATATAAATATAATTTGTAAACTGCATGCAATATTTATTGACTACCGAACTGACTGCAGCAAAGATCTTTCTATTAGAAAGTTACTCTGCAATGAACTGAGAGTGGACAAGGAGGTCACTTCACAAGTAAAAGTTTTGCACTATGTTTTAGTTTTATTATGCAACTGCAACTAGTTTTCATTTAGAGTATTACACTTGTAATTTATTTAAAATAAAATACTTATATTGATTAAAGAAAATATTTAATCAGATTTCCAAGCACCTTTGTAATTTGCAAGTCATTAATTTCATTTTTACTAGCATTCCGCCCGCAGTTTCGGTCGCGTCGTCATACAAAAATCATATTAATATAATTCTTATAAAAGATTTATAGTAATCGTCAATAAAAATTAAAAAGCCTACTTCAACCCCCTCTTTTTTCGTAATCGGTTAAAGAAGAAGGAGATTCTCAATGCGACTGTATTTTTTTGAAGTCAGTTAATAAAATCACAATTATATTACGATTTTTTGTCTCAATCAAACTCACTTTAGCTTTAATCATATTAGTAGAAATGAAGGGATATAAAACGCAATAACTATAAAATTGAGGTAATTATATTTTTATCATAAATAATGAGTCAACTAACAGTCTAACAGAGATATCATTCATAGCAATTCACAATGCGCAATTTTATATGTAAATAAATAGCTATAACAATGAATATATTGCATAAACATGGTTATCATATTAGTAAATACAGTCATATCATTTACTATGTTCCTGTATAGTAGGTATAAATTAGTATAATTCTACTAAAACGAATTATCTGCAATTTTGCCATCACAACAATATTTTTATTCCTTAATATGTGGACGATAGGGTTGATGACAAGGTTTGAAAATTAAAAATCTAATTAGTCCGTCAGTTACATAATGAAAAAATATTAGACACGTATTTTTTTATTTTGTTGTATAATAAAATGATATGTACTTAGATATAACGAATCAAAGTTTACGAGTGGGGGCTAAAACGTCATTTCTACGTATAAAATGTACATAGAAGTGACGTCACGCGACATTTCAAACCAATATATCGTCGAAACTATTCGTCTCCGTAAGAAAATACAAAATACGTGTCTAATGTTTTTAAATTATCTACCAGGCGGACATTACAATAAAAATTAGTCATCTACCTACTCTATTATTTTGACCTGCCTCGTTGACTTGTTGGTAGAGCTCCTACTGCGTTAGTGAGTTTCAGATTCGATTCCTAGGTCGGGCAACGTATTATTACCACATAAAAACATACCTAATACAGAGTTACTGCGAAGACATAAGACGAAAATGTATTTTTTCTGAAAACAAAAGTTTAATAAAACAATCCTTTGTTACCTCTTTACAAGACAACACGTCTTTCATCGTTCTACAATCAGTAACTCCCGGCATTGCGTCATTAGAAATAATTCGCCATCGTTTGCCCGACGCGCCCTTGCCACAATGACCGACCATTGTATTCGCGCGGCGATATTATCCAATCAGAATAGCGCAGCTTGTCACTGATCTCCAACTATTATTGTATTGTATTTGTTTGTGTCTTTGATTGTGGTGAATGAAGTAGATAATTTTAGACATCAGATGCCTAGCGGTGACGTCAGAATGGAGTCCGTTTCTCACATTTCTCTACTCCCTCTAATTTTCCTGCGGCGCAAAATCTCTAGTAGGTAAAACTTGAAACTTAAACTGCGATCTCCTCACATAACATCACGCCTTTTTATCATCGAAGGGTAGGCAGAAGTGTCATTACAGGAATTAATGTCATTGTACAATGTAACACCCTCTTTTCACTATTTATGTAATGGGTCTCATATAATAAGGAGGAAACTCCAACTCACCTGCCTGAGTAATGGCTTTGGTACAGTCTAACAGTGTATTGGTATAGATCATAGGCTGTTGTTTTATATATTTAAAACAGATACCCCCCCTGACATATACACATAGTTAGAGCTAAAATCCATATCTAACAACCACCTTCTCTTCCAGAAATACAACATCCTCACATTCCTACCTCTGGTGCTGTTCGAGCAGTTCCGTTTCTTCCTCAACCTTTACTTCTTGGTGATGGCCCTCAGTCAGTTCATACCCAGCATCCGTATTGGGTATCTCTACACTTACTGGGGGCCTCTGTGCTTTGTACTCGCCGTCACGCTGTTCAGGGAGGCCGTTGATGATTTCCGAAGATATCGGTAAGTTATGTTTGAATTAAAACTTATCCTAAGTTCTCTACAACGAAACACAACGCTTGCGTTTACCGGAGGCCCAATTACCCTCCCCTCCCTTCCCAATCTCACCAATCCCTAAATCACAAACAATCCTCAAATTCCTAATCCCCAAAAGGCCGGTAACGCCGATTACTTACCATGAGGTGATCCGTCTGCTCGTTTACCGGCTTAAAAAAAAAGTCCATTCTTTTCTGTACCATAAGTCGAATTCCCAATATAATTTCCAATACTCGTAATGACTAAGCACATATTTGGCAACACTTAGCTGATAGCCCCTAATCAGCCTAACTAAATCTAATTAGTATTTATACTTCTAATAGATACTTCAGCTGAGCTGTTTCATGAAACACGATAGGATAGATTGACGCGAATCGGATCAGAATCAGAAATAAGTATTTTGAATAAACGCGTTAACATAGCATTCGGAACTTTAACTGTAAAACACCGAGCGGTCACTGGTGACAGCAACCTATTGTTCTTTAATTATGTCTATAATGACGGTACTCGACGAGTTAAAACTCCAACTATCTAGAGACAAGTTCCAGCATTCTCTTTTTTTTTTTAAAAAAACGTCATCCCATATTGGATTTTCTCCTGTAT